GGTGCTCCAGCTATTTCATCTACCTTTTACCTTCCAGGCACTAGGCAAGAGGCATCATATGGAAGCTTCTAGGGATTCTATTTACATATTCTTGACCAGAATTTTCTACAGAAACTTAACATCAAGGAAGGCTAGGAGGTGTCTCCTGAGAAGCCACTCCCTAAATTGATCCTTATTCCAGTACTAAGGATGGAGAGAAAGACTCAACTGTTTTGAATACACATCTGACTCTCAGCCACTTTTAGACTTGAACTCTCCCTTTGCACCGAGCAAGTCACAAGAGTGGACGTTGGTATCGCCCTTCACTTTGCAGAAGCAGCAGCAGGAGAAGCTGAGTCCAGAGAAAGCCAAGAAGGGATTGAGTATAGACCCGGCATTCTTTTTTCAAAATTTCACTGTTGAGTAAATCTCTGCTATTCCTACGGGGATGAGTATATACTAATGCTAAGAGAGGGCTAAGAGGGACCAGAGTATTTTACAGTATTTCCTTCTATTTAAATGTGAAGCAGAAACTCATTAATGGACCATGTGGACAGAAAACAGATTCCTATGACTGTACCTTTTCTTGACTCCCGTACCTACACTGACTGACCCAACCTATTAGAAAATGCAGCGACAACTTAGTCTCTGACTTCAAGGCAGTATATCACCTTTCTTGTGGCAACTCATGTGACCTACATTCAGCCTAACTGTTCTTGCACATCAGCATATTCAGACTAACAGGACAGGGCTTCTCACAGCTCTGAGAACTGACTTTCTAGCCTGTTTCTCCTCTCTCCTATGCATAAGCTCATTTGCACAGTTGGAGGCTAGGAATCTACTGTGGTTATCTTTGCATTTCAATTCTCTTCTAGTACCTGTCCCTTTGGAGGGGGCTCTAATATTTACTGAATTTTTAATGCTAATGGTGCCCTCCTTTCTTATGCTCCTTATTTTATAATAATGTTGTTAAAAATGGGATACTGGATGGCTTGATATAAAATAAAAGTAATGGCCACCTGGGGCCAGGAAAAGAGTGAAAAAGGTTGTTGATATCTCTCCCTACGTTGCCGCTTAAGACCTGGAACATTGCCAGGTACAGCCCTGGTGACTCCTAAACACTACAAGGATGGCCCGGTGGCCCCCATGCACCATCACACTCAAGAAGTTCTGCATCACCAAGCTCACACCTAACCTTCAAGCCTAAACTCAGGAGGCAGTATCACCAAAAGTGGCCCCAAACAATTCTGCAGAGCACCCCACTACCAATAGTTGTATAGTTGTGTGTGTGTATTACACATCAGTGTTTCTTAAAACGTCATTGTGTTTTAGGCACTGTCAGAAGTACTTGTCTCTGTTGTTTTGATTTTATCAACCTGGTGAAAAACAAAGCACTCTTTTCATTGTACACTGATTTGGCCAAGACTACAGAACTGGGAAAGCTGGGATTTGAGCCAAGGTTCTTCCTTTGCCTCCTTGCCTATGCCTGGGAAGTATGGATCAGATCCAGGTCTTCTGACTCAGTGCCCTGCTATGAGAAATTTCTAATCCCTGCCTACTTCGTGTCCTGCTTTGTTGTAATGCAGTGATCATTGAATGTTAAAGTAACCACTGAATATTGAAATAACCATTGAATATTACATTTTAAGGTGTGGACTGACATGCCTTTCAAGTGATGCCTTGCTAATGAGCCTGTGCATCTACTTCTCCATCTTTACCATCTAGCCTAAGTCACCAAGAACCACCTGACTAGCAATAGTTGGAAGGAAAACCAGAAGGGTATTCTTCCCAGTCTAAAGAATATAGGACTTTCCCCGGGAAACTGGATGATGATATGGGTTAAGCTTATCTGAAAAGGATTCTCTGAGGGTCATCATCATTTAGCATCTGACTCTTGGCAAGTGTGAAAGTCAGTTAAGGGAAGTTAAGAGTTGTCTACCTCACCAAAAGTGAGAATGTCCCTCTTTGGGGTTTGCTCCTTTAGCTTGGAAGGGTCCCTACCAGAGGGTCCCAGGAGAAATGCAGTGGTTGGGTCACCCCCACTATCTGTTGATAAGAGGCAGAGGTACTGTATTCCGAGTCCTTTGGACAAGAAACCACACATTTAACACAAGTCTTCACCCAAATTGCTGACACTTCTGCAGTTTTCAAAGAAAGAAAAGGAGGTAGGGAAGCAGAGCTGCTGCTTCTGCTAAGGACCCCCGTCCTCGGTGTCCTATGTAGAGTGCAAAGAATGTCTCCGGCCAGCAGATGTGACATTCCCTGGGTGTTTGACATCGAATCCTTCCCTCAGAGCACATCTTTCCCAGGCCAGCTTGTTTCCTTTGTTCCCTCTATGAGGGAGGAAGTCATCAAAGGATTGAAAAAGTGGAGGGAAAGTGGGGAAGAGGAAGAGTGAAATGCCATGAAGATGGTGAATGTGTGGCAGGTGTTTTAATTGTAGATGAAAACAAGGACCTAGGTTCACTAGATATTGTGTTTTTATTTGGGGGAGCAGCAGGGGAGGGTTCGATCCAATAGTGCTCAGGGTGTACTCCTGATTCTATGCTAAAGGATCACTTCTGATTGAGATTGGGGGACTGTACGTGGTGCCAGGAATTGAAATCAGCTGCATTCAAGGAAAGTGCCTTACCCATTGTGATATCTTTCTGTCTCTATCCCACATTTTATGCAAAGTAAGAAATACATATGGTAGCTCAGTTCAAACACACACACACACACACACACACACACACACACACATACACACACACATTTACTACCTGAATACAGCCCAGCTATAGGGTGAGTCCTGCCAATAAAGTCCTCACTGTCTCATTTGATCACCCCTTCCATTAAAAAATAAATTTTTAAAAAACTTCTGAAAACTGCATAAACCATGCTACTTTAACGTTGTCTCCCAAAATCTCTGGGCCATACATGGCTGTGTTCAGAGTTTACTCCTGGCTCTGTGCTCAGGGATCACTCTTGGGGACTCAGGGAATCATGTGGAGTACCTGGGATGGAAAAAAAAAAATAAAGTTGGGCTGGAGCGATAGCACAGCGGGTAGGGCGTCTGCCTTGCACGCAGCCAACATGGCCGACCCAAGTTCGATTCCTCCGCCCCTCTCAGAGAGCCTGGCAAGCTACTGAGTATTTGATATGCCAGACACAGTAACAACAAAGTCTCCAATGGAGACCTTACTGGGCCCACTCGAGCAAATCGACGATCAACGGGAGGGCCTTTACTTTACTTTTTACCCAAATTTTCCCCCAAATTAAAATATTCACAAAGATTATCATATTTAGGTTATTGTAAATATGCTTTCAATATATATTTGTCAAAGTTTTGAGGCACAAATCTGAGGGAAAATGTCATTCTAGACTTTGTCAAAGCCATTTCTCACTGCCTTAATCAGGCTAGTCGTAATTAACTTCCTGTGAGAAAGAAAGTCTGTTTTTCTTCTGCAATTCAGATAAACAACACAGAACCCACCCCTCAGCCTGATGAGGCTTCAGCTTCTGAATTCCCATTCTGGGTATAGAGTGATGGATGGATGAGAGATGCTAAGAACCTTCAATATTGCAGTGCTTGCATGAAATAAAGTGCTGCTCCGAAGGGCCCCTCCCTCAGAACCTCCCCATTATCCCATGATTTGTTACCTGGGAATTTTGACTGTCCCAGAAACCATCACTGTCAGAGCTTTGGGATACATGAGAACTGTGTCTTTCACTTGAAAAGCAGCATAAAACCAGGGTGAAAGGGGAAGACAAGGGAAAACTGGCAGTTCCTACACCCTGGCTGCTACTTTGTCAGCCAAGTTGGTTTGTGGAAGAAGTCTATGGACATGGTTTTTCTAAAACCAGGAACGTTTTGTAAATACCCTGAGATATTATTTAAATCCTTTAGGAGCCTCAGTTTTAATAGGCAAAGTCTACAAAAATATCTATCTTGAAAGATGCTAAAGGTAAAAGGCCCTCCCGTTGATCGTCGATTTGCTCGAGCAGGCCCAGTAACGTCTCCATTGGAGACTGTTGTTACTGTGTTTGGCATATCGAATACTCTCGGTAGCTTGCCGGGCTCTCCGAGAGGGGCGGAGGAATCGAACTCGGGTCGGCCATGTTGGTCGCTTGTAAGGCGAACGCCCTACCCGCTGTGCTATTGCTCCAGCCCTTGAAAGATGCTACGGGGAGGAATATGCTAGGTGATACAGATAAAGCACTTATGGAGTGCTGTTGCCTGGTCAGTACTTACTAGGCCCTAACCCCCTGTTATTGTTGGGATCCGATACTTCCACCTGCGAACAGTGTCATTTCTCACTGGACTAAGCTATTCTCAACTCCTCCCTAACACTTGAGGGCCCACATAGCCAGGCTTTCCTCCATACCCCTTGGGTACTCCGTGAACCCTGATCCCTCATCTGGTGGCAGATTCCACTCTTAGGAGAGACATGAGACATGGGTAAGAAATCCTTCGACACATTAGAGGTGAGCACAGGGCTGTCTGGGCAGGAAACTGGAACTTGCTCTGGTAATATACAGGTTTGTATATCCGGACCATCAGCACTCCTATCCAGACAAAGGGGGACCCAAGCCCAGCAGAGAGAAGCCTCTTAGGAGAAGGATCATGCTTCCAAGTTGTTATCTAAATCAGCTGAGATCATACGTGGGACTGTGTTTTGAATATAAACTTGAGAATGATTTTGACGGCCTTTCAGATCCCCAGGCCAAAGGCAGCCCCCTTGAACAGTGTAGCAGAAACCACAGAAGACAAGTTCCTGAACAGACCATTCTCGAGATATTCTCAAGAGTAGATACTCATGTCCTCTTTTTAATTTATTTATTTTGTTTTGTTTGGAGGGCCACTCTCAGCAGAGTTCAGGGTTTGCTTTTAGCTCTGCACTTGGGGATCACTCCTGGTGGTGCTCAGCAGACCATATGGGATGCAGGCATTGAACCCAGGTCAACCCCATGCAAGGAAAGTGCCTTACCGCTTCTGCGATCACTCTGGCCCCTCTCATGCCTTCTTATGGTTCTCTCAGGCACTAGTTTCCAGGCTGCAGGCTATGCCTTCAACACCTATGACTGGAGGAGTCCGAAGCAGAGCAGCAGTTTGTCCCCAGTCACTAAACCCCGAAGCCAGACGTACCCAGATGTGGGGCTGAGTAATGAAGACTGGGACCAGTCCACTGCCAGCGGGTAAGTTTCTTCAGTCACAGCCTTATCCTAATCTCCTCGTGGGCACTTAAGCCGGATGGAATTTCTCTACTCCTAGTAGCTCAAACTGCTCACATTGCCTCTATGGGGGATTCTAGAAACCAAGACTGCCTGGACGGAACCTGGTAACTAACACAAAAGGGCTTACTGTCCCCTAATCAAAGTAGCACTGTCACTGTCCTCCAGTTGTTCATCAATTTGCTCCAGCAGGCACAAGTAATGTCTCCATATCGAATATGCCACGGAGAGCTGGCCAGGCTCTGCAGTGCAGGCGGGATACTCTTGGTAGCTTGCCGGGTTCTCCGAGAGGGGCAGAGAAATTGAACTGGGTTGGCCGCATGCAAAGCAAACACCCTATCCGCTGTGCTATCGCTCCAGCCCTCTTTGAACAATATTTTAAGGAAATTCATCTGAAATTATTAGTCATAAGAAAAGATAAAATATGTAATTTTTCTGCAACTTAAAAAGAACTGGAGGCTGATGTTTTGTTAGTTTGAGAGAGAAGGTTCAGTATGCAGCGCATAGAGAAATAAGACAAGGGAATGGGAGGTATTAAATAATGGCCAACCCTTAGCCCTAGATCACAGAACTGAGCATGCCCCGAAAGGGGGCATGTTGGGGATTACTGATGAGATGGTGAGGAGGACTAGAAGTGACATCGGGACATTAGTGTAGGGTCTTAGAGACTTTGGTGGGTGAGAAGTGAGGTAACTGTACATCAACACCTTACGCATCAATACTGCTATAAACATGGAAGCCAAACTATAATTATAAGAAGAATTTTTTAAATTAAGTTTACAAAAAAAGGCATGGGAGTGTAAGAGGGGACCATGAGACATTTGTGGAGGGATACAGTCACTAATGATGAGTGTAGAATTGGAACATTATATACCTCAGACTATTATTAACACAGTTGTAAATCACAGTGCCTAAATAAAAATAACAAGGTCCCCTGTGGTTTGTGTGCACAGTAAAACTTAAAACACTGCTTCAGAAAGTGCACCAGAAAGTGTAATCTTGAAGTCATGGGAAATAAACACTCACTGTTAAAACAACAAGTGATTGCACTTAATTGATCTGTACAGATGCTTGTAAATGGGGGAAACACATTTTTTGCCTCATTGAGAAAGGTTTGAGTCATCTTTCTGTAGAGAAAAGCTGAAAAATATCCCTATACAGTGCCCTGTTGCTATAGCTTCTTCAGCCATTGCTAGTTATTTAGACCATGGTCCTTTATAACTGGAAATTTTGCATTTCCTCAAACTTCTTTACACTGGAGCTGGCTCTGGTTGAAGGCCACAGTTGGAAGAAAGACTCACCTGATAAGCATCTCTTTCTTTTTTTTAAATTGAATCACCATGAAATACACAGTTACAAAGTTGTTTCTGATTGGCTTTCAGTCATACAATGTTCCAACATCCATCCTTCATCAGTGCACGTTTTCCACCATCAATGTCCCCAGTTGCTCTCCTACCAACCCTCCACCCAACAGCCTGCCTCTATACAGTAAGCCCTTCTCTCTCTGTCTCTCTCTGTGTCTCTCTCTCTGTCTCTCTCTCCCCCACCCCCTCTCCCTCCCTCCCTCTCTTCCTCTCGGTGTAATGGTTTGCAAATACAGGTACTGAAAGGTTATCATGTATATCCCTCAGCTCTTGTCCAGAGTGATCATTTCCAACATTTCCAACTGTCATTGTCATAGTCGTCCCTTCTTTGTCCTAACTGCCTTCTCCCCCGCCCCCTCCACTTGTGCCAAGTTTCCAACCATGGACCAGTTCTCCTGGCTCTTGTTTTTGCTGTCCTTGGGTATTCATCTCACACTATGTATTTTTTTAAAGCCATCTCATACTATTTTTTTATAGCATCTCTCTTGTATGAGATGAAGGAGAGAGATTCTAGATATTGGGGGGGGGGGCATGATGCTTGTATATTTTTAACCCAAACTATGATTTTCAACGCAGTTTTGCAGGGGCTGCCGACTCTGCCGATGCTGAGCAAGAGGAGAATTTCTGGTCTCAAGCATTGGAGGATTTAGAGACCTGTGGACAGTCAGGAATTCTGAGAGAACTCGAGGTAGCCTCGGTCCTGCTACTTACTGTCATTGTTTCTACATTCATTTTTTTTGGTCCTTTTGAGTTTGCACTTATCACACCAGTTCATTTAAAAGCTTTAACCCCTTTCCACAGGAGAAAGCTGACAGGCGTGTGTCTTTGAGAAACATGACTCTCTTGGTAGCTACCCTTTCTGTTTATATTTTTGCTTGTGAAGCTGCCTCCCCTGCCCCTTGCCTTTTAGACAGCAATTTGATTTTATACAGCGCGGTTGAAAGTATTTCCCCATTTCCACCCCCGAGCTTACTGACTTGTGGCTTCTGCCATTGCTCCCTGCTAACCCTGACTGTACCTGTTCCCCACCAGATTGCTCAGGAGCTAGCTCAGTCTCCCAGCAGTGACATCTCTCACTCCCTTAGTTGCTTTAGAAAGGTTTCTTTGGCATGTTTTCATTTGTACCTGGTATAGAAATTAATTTGATTGTGCAGAGGAACATAAGAGGAAATTTTATTTTCTTTTGCCCTTAAAGTAGATGACAGTACAGCTGGTTTTAAAAAAAAAAATCCACCAGTCTGTTTAGTAAGCAGCCAAAACAGTACCTAGTACTTGGCTGTCAATTGCAAATCTTCCTGATTCCATATTAACCTAGTGTGAATAACCCAGAGTTGCAGCGAGATAGCGTATAATAATGAACTCCTGAGGAGTTCTTTAATCAAAGCTATGAATTTGCTGAAGGGATTCACACTTGGACTTGGGAAGTCCTCGACTATTTCCTTTTATGTTCTTTTCAATTCTCTGATCTGTAAAGAATAAAGTGGCAAAAGTCTCATTTTTATTTTGATGTCATACGAGGTTCCCCCAGTCACCATAAGGAATGTGAATGGCATAAATGGGTGAAACTTGCAATCCTACAATGATTATTCATCTTTATATTATTTTGCTTCTCGGTTGCATGTGTGGATATTTTATGTGAATCTAATGTTTGTGACTCTGCAAAGAGAATTACAGAGAAAATTCTTAGTTTGAATTTGTCAACATCATAGTTCTTTATGTGGCATGAATTTCAGCTTCGGAGCACAGTTAAAGGGCTTGGAGATGGACACTGCTATAACACTTAAATCAAGATGCTAGTAATTGATTCCTTCTTTTATACAACTTGGAAGAAAGGACAGGAGACTTAACTAGGGGCTTATTTAAACATTTACCACTGCCTGTGTGTAGAATGATCAGCTAATGGGAACCAAAAAATAATGTCAGTTCCCAATTCTTGAACATGTCCACTGTCACTGTCCTCCCGTTGTTTATCGATTTGCTCAAGCGGGCCCAGTAACGTCTCCATTTTGAGACTTGTTGTTAGTTACTGTGTTTGGCATATTGAATATGTCAGGGGTAGCTTGCCAGGCTTTGCGTATCGTGCGGGTGAGATACTCTTGGTAGTTTGAGAGGGGCGGAGGAATTGAACGCGGTTCAGCCGGGCTGGCTGCACGCAAGGCAAATGCCTTACCGCTGTGCTATTGCTCCAGCCAATTCTTGAACATACTCCTGCTTAATGAAGCGTATTCTAGTTCACATTCCTTTTTCATTTTTCATTTTGTTACTTTTCTCTCAGACAGTATGCTTCTCTTCTGATCATTTTATTTTACATTTGATAAAATGAAGATGATATGTTTTTTAAAAAAATACTCTGATGAAGTGCTGTCTTCCTCTGGAAATAGTTATGTACTGTAAACTGCACCCACCAGCATTGAGAGTTATGTTGAACCAGCCTGTACATTTTCTCTAATAGCTTCAGAGAAGAATTGTGTTGGAATTATAAGCCTAAGAGAAATGAAAAGTCCTCTCAACTAAGAGGAATCCATGATTGGCAATCCATAAATCAGTCTTTTATGCACTTAGGTTACAAAGGATATTTATTGGCTTACTCTGAAAACAAGTGCTACTATGAAATAATTATGGAAACTAGATACTATAGCCATAATAAAAATAGAAGATTAAGATATAATTGCAATTGAAATGAAAATCATACTAGTCATTTCCCCCATTACTAAAAATAGATTTAACTTTAGCAGTAAAAAATGTTTAGTTCTGGGGCTGGAGCGAAAGCACAGCAGGTTGGGCGTTTGCCTTGCACTCAGCCAACATGGCCGACACAGGTTCAATTCCCAGCACCCCATATGGTCCCTTGAGCACTGCCAGGAACAATTCCTGAATGCATGAGCCAGGAGTAACCCCTGAGCATCGCCGGGTGTGACCCAAAAAGCAAAAAAAAAAAAATGTTTAGTTCTAACAAAAGGGAAAAATTGAAACTAAGACTCTAAACAAGTTACCTAAATTCTCTATTTGTTTCCTTTGATAAAATACAGGGATTATGACTAAAATTTATATGGTGCTTAATTCAGAATTGGGCACTTAATAAATGTTCAGTAGAAATTTAAGTTTTGCCATTTTTATTAATAAAAATTCATTTTTTTTGGTTAATACGATATGGGAAGTTTTTTTTGTTTTTGTTTTTAATTTTTATTAGTGAAACACCATGAGGTACAGTTGTAGATTTACAAATTTTTGTGCTTGGGTTTCAATAATACGATGATCAAATACCCATCCCTCCACCAATGCCCATTCCCACCACCATGGGTCCCAGTGTCCCTCTAATCCCCCATCCCCCCACCCAACCCTGCCTCTGTGGCAGGGCATTCCCTTTTGTACTCTCTCTCCTTTTGGGTGTTGTGGTTTGCAAAAGAGGCATTGAGTGGCAGTAATGTTTGGTCTATAGTCTACTTTCAGCATGCTTCTCCCATTCTGGGAGGATCCTCCCAACACCCTTTATTTGGGGCTCCCTTCTCTATCTGAGCTCCCTTTTCCAATATAAGAAGTTTTAACTAAAAAATCTTGCACAGAACCTTCCAAGTTTATCTCTGATATTCTGGGAGGAAGACTTTAACTGTAAATTGTGCATTGTGCAAAATAAAAACTGGTAACCTATGACCGGTAAATAAAAAATAAGCCTTAGATAATTTATTATTTTGTTAAGTTTTTATTTTAATTTTTATATTTGAGTTTTAAGTTCATATCCTTGCATAAATTTCACTGATTCAATATAAGTTCACTTTAAGCAATTGAGTCATGCTTTGAAAATGAACTAAAGACCTATTTAGGGGCTGGAGCAATAGCACAGCGGGTAGGGCATTTGCCTTGCACGCGGCCAACCCAGGTTCATTTCCCAGCATTCCATATGGTCCCCTGAGCTACCGCCAGGAGTAATTCCTGAGTGCAGAGTCAGGAGTAACCTCTGTGCATTGCCAGGTGTGACCCAAAACAAAGCCAAAAAAAAAAAAAAGACCTATTCATAATGCTATTCCCTCGATCAGAACCCTTTTACCTTCATTGTATTTCCTGCTGAAAAAATAGATCTAAAAAATGGATTTTAACAACAACAAAAATGGACCAGAGAAATATGTGGGGTCAAGGCACATGCACTAAGTCCCTAAATCAAATCCGTACCTGGGGACCTCCAGCTCTCCTGACCCCAGCATTGAAACATCTGGGCTGATATCACAGGAGGTGGTTTCTGAACTGCCTGAGCACTGCTTAGGAAGCCAAAAAAGAAAAGAACTAGTCAGTGTGTGTAAAAATGTTAGACAGAAGGTCACAGGTCACTGCAGAGCGAAACCATCCTTGCATAAGGTAGTTATGGTAGATTCAGCAAAGAGACTTGTAAATAAAAGGATGAGTTATGGCATCAGAACGCTAGCAATCTAAAGATTTCCATCTGAAAATGGAATTTATCTTTTAAAAAACCCTCTGTAATGTGAATAATGCACACTTACTTGAATATTAAGGTGTGGGCTTTTTTTCACCATCAAAAAATTTCTTAAATCTCAGCCCAATGCTTGCCTGAGAAGCAATACACCCTACTAGGCAAGAATTAGAGTTGCCCCCTCCCCCCAAATAAGAAGAAATAGAGTTCTGTTTTTAGGTTGCTAGGGTTATAATCCAGACACTTTGGGAGTTGTTTAACTTACCAGGCATCTCTTTTCTTCACTGAAATGGGGAGCTATAATTATATTGACTACAGGGTTGTCATGGTTATTAAAGGATATTTTGTATATACCTAAATACAGAGCACTTACCATGTGTAAATGCTCCATGGCACATCAGGATTGTTGTTTGTTGTTGTTTTTTAATAATTATTTCTTTCTCAGAAGAGTCAATGAGATAACTAATCTAGCCAGGTGCTGTGTAAGTCTACTTTTTTTTTTCTCACCAAAGTTATAGAAACATAGACACATTATCCAATACTGACCGCTATTCAAAGACCTTGTCAGTGTTGCGTAACTCTCACTCTCACTGTAAGTGTCCTCCCATTGTTCATCGGTTTGCTCAAGCGGGCCCAGTAACATCTCCATTTTGAGACTTGTTGTTACTGTGTTTGATATATTGAATATGTCACAGGTAGCTTGCCAGGCTTTGCCGTGCAGGCGAGATACTCTCTGTAGCTTGCCAGGCTCTCTGAGAAGGGCGGAGGAATCGAACCCGGCTCAGGATTATAAAAATCTTAGGGAAAAAAATGAAAATACTATGTACTTTGCATAGTCCCTCCTCATCAATAATCTTAGTACCTTGACTCAGGGAGTTATTATAACCTTGGGTCAGTCCATCTCTTCATATCTCAGTTTCCTCCCCTGTGAATTAGAAGAGTCTACTTCAAAAAGTTGTTGCAAGGCTCAAAAGGTCAAATACAATTTAAAGAAACTACAGACTACACTTATGTTACTTTTAGCCACAGTGTTAATATAAACCACTCAATTGTGTTATGGCCAGATGCATGGCTTATCAAACTAAAATTCCGTTTCCAAGGCTTCAGGCAGACCCCCTAGTCAGTGCTTAGTTACCTTTAGGTACCCATCTTATCCAGGAAAGCAGAGTTGGCTACAGGCACATTTTTATAAGTTTAGCATATCTAACTTCAATGAGAAAAATGAATATCACATCACTAACGTGATGTGGGTTTCAAATTCACTGCTGAGGCACATCTTTATTTAGGATCTAATCTTCCCATTCATTGTAAATTAGGCAGGGAATATATATTGGAACAGGCTTTTCCAATTCATTTGGTACCTTCCCTCTTTCAGTGCTTTTAAGTAAAGAATTTCATCAAATAGCTTTAACCTCTCTTGGGAGCTTACACAGTGGCTTGCAGAGAGGGGATTGGGATCACACCCAGCAGGTGCACTCCTGGCTCTGTGATCCTGATGGTCCTTGGTGGACCATATGCAATTGCTAATGATGGGACCAGGTTCTGCTGTTTGCAAGGCAAGTGCCTTATCTCCTTTGTCTGACTCAGAATGTCTATTTTTAAGAAACAGATTCACACCAAATGACATGAGGTGTAAATGGTAAGTTTCTGGAGCATCATTTGGACAAAGGAAAGACAATTTCCCAGGGAGAGGCAAGTGGCACTGGATTGAAGCCAGTCCCTTTGTATCAGTAGCTCCTTTTCTGCCAAGTGTTACTTCTACTCAGGACTAGAAGTTTCACTGCAAAACAAGGCATCCTGGTCCCCACTGAGAAATTCTTAGTTTGTTTCTGTAAAATGTGTTGAAGGTGGGAGCCAGAGAGGTAGTACAATGGGTAGGGCATTTGCCTTGCACACGGCCTATCAGGTTTGATCCCCAGCACCCCATATCGTTCCCAGGTCTGCCAGGAGTGATCTCCGATGCAGAACCAAGAGTAGGCCCTGAACACAGCCATGTGTGGCCTAAAAACAAACAAAAAAAGTATTGAAGGTTATCTCATGAATCCCATTTGCTGGACAAGTTCAGTGGAAAGTTAATGCTTAAATGTAGTTTGCAGTAAGCAAATGTTAGCACTTTTCAATTTGCTTCAAAACTGCCAGGAGTGGTATTTGATTAAATAAACTCCAAGGCTTAAGTACTTAAATTGGATTTAAGATGCACATTATAAATGTCACTTGCAAAACATTCCCCCAGACTTTCATAGTTCAATTAGTACGTCCATTCTCCAGCCTTTGGTTATGCCCCGAAGAGACTGTATTTTGACTGGGTAGAACGAGAAATGTGCTTAATGTTGAGCAACCAACCCTCATTTTTAGTCTTGGCCTTAATTGTTTCTGAAAATTGTCGATGCCACAGGCAACAATTATGTCGGGGAGCACGATGAGTTTGAATCACGAGGCCCCAACACCTCGCAGTCAGCTGGGGCGACAGGCCAGCTTTCAAGAACGGAGCAGCTCTCGGCCACACTACAGCCAAACAACTCGGAGCAACACCCTGCCCTCAGATGTGGGCCGGAAGTCTGTGCCTCTGAGAAAAATGAAACAGGAAATAAAGGAGATCATGTCCCCAACTCCTGTGGAGCTGCACAAGGTCAGAAGCGTTCTTCTCTTGCCCTGGGGGTTCCCTTTCCCACTGCAAGAGTGAGGGTGCAAGCTTGGTGATAATGTTCCCCTGTGGGTGTGGCCAGTGAGGGAAGCCAAGTCCTGCAGCCATTCTGAGACGTTGGAAACATGGTCTTTGGGAGATGATTTCCCCACCCCGAAAAAAGAAAGATTGTCTTTCAGTCAGTGACTTTATCAAGTAGATATTTACTGTCAAAATCTTATAAAAAGTTTGAGGTTCCGGCATCATCTGGAGCTTCAAAGAGTTGGCTTATTATCCAGACCGTCATCGGGAAGGGGATGCATTTCCCAAATGCCATGCACTCACTGCTTCACCACAACAGACTTTTGGAATGAACGGGGGAAGCCTTTATTCTTAATCATGATTCATCAGCAGATGGCCGTGTTACTGTGTTACTAAAGGGGATGTGAGTTCTTTGAGACGCAATTTAGATATCTTGGGTCAGGACTGGGATAAGCCCTAGTTGTGTTCCTTCTCAATCTACAATAGTTGCCTAGTTATGGTAGTTATGGTAGAAAACTTTTCCATTGTCAATGGAACTGAATTCCAGTTTCTAGCAGAATTTAAATCAGACATATGTTAAGGAAATTATATATATATATACATACATATATATATATATATATATATATATATATATACACACACCCCTGGACCAAGGAGAGCCATAAGAGGAAGAGATCTTTGGCTTATATTTGTAGGATTAATGCTTTATTTTTCAGTTAATAGTGTCTAGGTAATAAGTCTCATCTCACCCCACTTTGCATGAGAGCTAAAATTCTCTGTAGTTAGTAATCTATAAAATAGAGATTGATTGTCCAAAGAGTAAAAAGAAGTTGGTGTCAAGACTTCATTGTCTCAAGACTTCCTGGTCTCAGCACCTATTAACACTAGCAGTATATTTGCAGTTGACAGAAGATGTGATGAAGGAAAGGAGTGGGGAGGAAGTTGGATTCTGAATGTGGTATTCCGTTTATGGGTTCATTCTTTAACAACTTACTCATTTACTTAATAAACCTATCAAGTATTTGTTCACTTAAAACAACCATCATTGTGAGGACAAAAGAGATGATACAAGGACTAAAGCACTTGCTTTGCATGCAGCCAACACTGGCTTGATTCCTGATACCACATATGGTCCCTCAAGCACCACTAGGATTAATTCCTAAGCAGAGTCAGGAGTAAACCCTGAGCACCACTTGATGTGACCCAAAAGCAAAAAAAAAAAAAACAAAAAAAAAAAAACAGAGTAGTGTGAACCTCAGGGAGCATATAGTCTAATGGATATCCAGACTTGGAAACAGAGAAAAGATCATGGAGTAAGATGGGCAATAAGCCAAGACCCTCACCAAGAAAGAAGACAGAAAAGATTTCCTAGAAGTACCTGTTGACCCTTCAAGAGGGATGGAGAATGACAAGGTATCCCAAACACAAAAAAAAGACGTATATAAAAAGAACCTCAAAGATTGTAGGGTACCGAGGACATGCAAATACTCCAACATGATCCACCAGTGCCTAGAAGGAATTACAGACTTCATGGAAAAGCAGTCTCTGACATTTTAAGGTGAAGGCCCAGGTCTCGCGCACTACCACAATTAGTTTGTTTATCCAGTTACCTGGAATTGCTGTGTCTCGTTAGTAAGCACCAATCTTTGTGTTGGTCATGTACCTGAGTAAGCTAATTGACAACACCGGCAGGCAGCTGTAAGGACTCCCAAGGTGATTTTGCAGAATCTGCAGAGCCAATGTTAAGTCTGCTGGGCCTTCCCCAGATGACAGGTGTCCAAGAATACTGCTTTCCCTCCCCTCTAAAACTCTGGAGCTGATAGGCGCAAACTTCATAACCTACCCTCTGCCAGCTCCAAAGGGAAAGGATAGTGGCAGATTACTGGGCACCTGCTAGGTGCTCTGTTCTTCATGATCGACCTCACAATTGCCCTTTGTAGCGGGTCATCATTATCTGCTTCTCTGGGATTCAGGAGATGGCCTGTAGGAAATAGTTATTTTTTACTCTAGAATGAAGTGGTATCTTCAAAAGAAGAATCTTACTGGCCCACCGATGCAAGCTCCCTGTCTCCCTATTCCTCCCACAATGACAGCCTGTAGAGAAGATCACGGCAGTGGGTCGAATGTGCAAAGGTTTAAAACACAAAGATGACTGTGCTGAAAATAGATTCCGCTTAAGGTGAAAAACAAAAGGCTTCAACCACTTCTGAACTCCGTAAATGATGGTGATGAAACTGTCCAGCACTTTTATGTGATGGTACCTGATTCTGGAGGTCATGAGGTCCCAGACACTAATGGAAAAACTTGACCTTAAACATAGGATGAGAGGCTGGAGTGATAACACAGTGGGTAAGGCATTTGCCTTGCATGCAGCTGACCCGGGTTCGATTCCCAGCATCCCATATGGTCCCCCGAGCACTGCCAGGAGTAATTCATGAGTGCATGAGCCAGGAGTAACCCCTGTGCATTGCTGGGTATGACCCAAAAAGCAGGAAAAAAAAATAGGATGATTCTTTTTCCCTCCTTCACCTCTATAATTGCCCCTCACTGGTGGCCATAAGTGCATTTCCCAAAGAGCTTCACCTTTTTGCTGAATTGAACCCAAACAAATCACGACTCTCAAAAGTCAAAGGTGTACGTGGCAGTATTAGACACCTAGAATGATCTGGTTAAGTGACAACATGGCAGAGGAGCCTAAGACCTGATGAGGTGGAGAGCCTAAGGCAGTTGATGCCCACATCTCTGCTAGCCTTTCTTTTTCCTTCCCAGAGGATTACCTGCCACACAGATGCACAAGGAGCATGGGGTGTATTGGCCCATACTAAATCTTTGTAAAAAGTAGTAAAAGTCACTCCTTGGAGTGGTGGGATAAAAAGAGGGCCAATAGTTAGATAAACCTCTCTGCCCCAGTTCATTATTCCAGGCCCAAAGTGTGAGTGCCACTCTGCGGGAGGAGAGAGGGCTGGTTTCAGTTCTCCAGGCCCCCTGGACGGACCTTACACGAAGGGATTCTCACAGGAATGCAGGGACTAGCGTGGAGAGGCTGGATGGAGTCAAAGAGCTTCTGCTACCTGACTCTTCCTGTCTCCCATGGCTCTTCCAAGCAAGCTCTCTTCCGAGCATCTGGAGGAGGAGGAAATTAATTAGTGAACCAAGACCTAGCCTCATTCCGGAGAGGAAAGCAGAAAGCCCAAACAGCTCCATCTGGTAATGGGTTACTAACCTCATTTCCCACAGACAGTATCAAGCCAGAATTTATCTTCCGGTTGTGGGTGACGGTTGGGGTTCAGCTTCCTCTCCATTGTTTGCCCCTCAATGTCCACCCAGTCCTCCTGGCTCTTCTCTCTCACCCTTCAGATCTGAACATCCCAAGCTCGGTCCACAATTTTCACTGGTTTGAGTCTATTTTGTGAGATCTGTTGTCTCTGAGCTCTGCTGGGTGCCAACAAGCTCTCCACTTTTCTTCCTGGTCCCCCAAAGCTGCTTGTCCTTCCTGACTTGAGGACAGAGAGCTGAAGCTTCACTTCTTTTGGGGCCGTGATGGAGCTGCAGTAGGAGCTGGAGTTCAGGATTGGAAATTAGTAGTAGGCAGGTGAGCTGGGGGGCCAGGGAGATGCTTCTGTCTCCTTCAGCCCTGGCTTCCTTCTTAAACTGAGGGTACAACACCGTGATCTTTCTTTCTTTCTTTCTTTCTTTCTTTGCTCACCCCCGACGATGCACAGGGGTTACTCTTGGCTCTGCACTCAGGAATCACTCCTGGAAGTGCTCGGGGTGATGTCGGTGGGTCCTGAGTCCCTTCGTGGTCGCCATCTGATGTCGGTGGGCCCCACGGGTGACTTATGTGAAGCAGGGAGGAGAAAGACAGTCACTTTCTCCCCACCCGCCTCTGCCACTCAGGACCCAGGGTTGCTGGGTTCTTGTCTCACCTCACAGAAAGGAATTTCAGGAGTAGACGAGCAGTGAAGTAACAGGTTTTATTTGGAGGCTTTTTAGGTATGGAGGGAGGGAGAGAGAGTGAGAGAGTAAAGTTAGACACGAAAGCATGAAAGTATACATCTCAAGAGGGGAGATGCGGGCAACACATGTGCTCGGGCACCACATGTGCTCAGCCACGTGGACGTAAGCACACATGGGCTCAGGCAGCATATGCGCACCCTTCCTTTGTTCCAGGTGGCCTTTATAGGGTTTCTCCAACCTGCCCCCGACGTGGGGCTTCTTTCCAGGTAAAAGTTCGTTGCTAAGGAGGTTACTAGGGAGGTCCAGAAAGAGGAATTTCATGGGGAGACCTATATCCTGAGGGTCTGCGGATAGTCTTATCAGGCCTTTGTTTTCTGTATCCACAAGTTGGGTTATTCCTAGAATTCTTCTTCCATTGCAAAGGGCCTTTCCCTATCTACCTGCCTACATCAGGGGGACCCTATGAGATGCTGGGAATCGAACTCAGGTTGGCCGAGTGCAAGGCAAATGCCCTACCCGCTGAGCTGTCACTCCAGCCCCCACCATGGGGTCTCTTAACTGAAGGTGAGAATGGCAAAAAAAAAAAAAATTGCAACAGTAAAATGTTTCTGATCACTCAACAACCAAAAACTAATTCAAAAATCATCTGTAAGGAAGGTAAGGTGTTTATGGCAGTGAGCACTAGTTGCTTTTTTTTTGCTTTATGGGTCACACCTGGCGATGCACAGGGGTTACTCTTGGCTCTGACTCAGGAATTACCCCTGATGGTGCTCAGGGGACCATATGGGATGCTGGGAATCGAACTCAGGTCGGCAGCGTGCAAGGCAAACACCCTACTGGTTGTGCTATTGCTCCAGCTCCTCGATGCATTTCTTAAGCTCTGCCTTAAGCCACTGCCGCTCTAATTTCCTGGCACAGTCCAGAACTCCTTTGACTTCATCTTCAACTTCCATATACTCGCACTGATGTCGGTGGGCCCCACGGGTGACTTATATGAAGCGGGG